CGAGTCCTCTTTTGTGCTCGGAGCACAATGATGACTGAATAGACCTTTTGATCAGCCTCTGCCTAGCCCCTGGACTAACTCTGGAAAAAGTATAACTGGAGTTTCAGAGAGTCATTTTGATTTAAAAACCATTTGCTGGATGCAATATAGCTGTGATGAAAAGCAGACTACTCTCAATTATGCATTAGGGTTGGAGCAAAGAAATACTGAAAAAAAACTATTTCATAGAAAGATAGTAAGTTTGGTGTTCTGATTAAATGCAGCCGTTTTGACTGCATGTTCTTTATGTCTGTTATCCGGCTTGATGAGACTACACAGTCTCTACATGGCTGAAAAAGACCCTAATGTCTCCTCATTTCTGTGAAATAGGAAGACATTTTTGTCATTACCTCTGCTTCAATGACACTCGTATCCTAACAGATGGTCACTTTCCGATTGATTTGGCTCATCTGTGAGAAAAATGAATTAAAACATTACGGCAACGAGACGGCGCTTAATCAGCCGCCCTTACATATGGGAGGTTTCTCACAGTTCTTCAGCCTCAGCTTCTGTACGTGCTTAAAGTCATCGCAAAGGTTAGTCTGGGTAGTAAAAGCCGGAGTGGAAAGCCTTAAATAGAGGTTTGTCACTGGCTTAATAAAGTGCTATAACCCATGGAAATAGAGGTGCTATGCACCAATCAGAGTCAATTACTAGCATGTTCCAACACCATTTACAGCGTTTACAAGCACATGTCAAAAGGTTAAGTGCTCAGATTTCTTTTAAAGCAAACAGATGTTTTATAATGTTCACTTGTTGACTGGGAAATGCACGACATTTTTAAGGTTTACTGTCGAATCGCATCACATTAAAGACAGAGCCCTGACTGAATGCTTTACGGGAGGATGATGTCAGTAATCCTCGCTCTGCTCCGTGACAGCCGATGACGATGAGCCGGACTGGTCTTCTTGTGGTCGTGGTGGTGGGGCTGACGGCTGACCAGAATTTCTGATTAGAAAGTGTCAACAGGGCCACGATAAGGGCCTGGCCAATAATGTCTCTGCTCCCATCATGTTGCCATGGTGACAGGACTGAGCTTTCCATATTATATCTTTTTTTTTGTCTATGTCTTAAACTTTCACCCCCTGCTGTTTAATTAATGGCGAGAATGCTTCAAAAATTCTCCTCCTTCGTGTTTGATTGATATAAATCTATATTTTAAGAGCTTGTATACATTCGTGCACTATCTTAAAGTGAAAGCACATCAAAGCGAGTAAAACATCTCGTATTTTAAGATCTCTGAAGTGCGTGCTATCAGTGACGATGGGGCTGCCGGGCTTCTTTTATGAGCACGTGGCCGCATAACTCGGAAAAGACAGGAGAAAACGAGCACGTCTAAAAACTCTTTCCAGGCGCAGACTTGTGATGATGTTTTTCTGTCCGTGAACCATCAGCGTACACTTGGGTTGCGCCATTTTGTCTGCTCAGCAGCCTCTTTGTAGAAAGCTCCGAGGTAAAGAGGTTCCTGAAACATAATATAGCAACAAGTGCCCTCAGCTCCCCCAATTAACTGCTGAGCTCTGTCTGGATGGGTTTTTAGAACATCAGCAAGAGTGCGCAGGAAAACCAAAATAGATGGTTTACGTCGTCAATATTTTAGCATATTGATATTCTTGACATGTTTTACTGTCACCGTATGGAAAGTAAATAATTTTCATATCATGCATTCGCTGAATAGTTATGCTAATGGCCCCATGAGCAAAATAATGATTACTTTTCTGGCTCATTTGAATAATGAAATCATTTAGTTAAGTGAGACAGTAAGCATTGGATTTGTTTATGTTAGATTCAGTGTGATCATATTATTCTTGTGTAATTGCGACGTGTGATCGATGGTGTTTTGGTTCCTTCATACTATCTATATGAAAACAGACAAAGAGGATTTATTTTCAGGAGTGGCACAAAGCCTCTATTATACAGTAGAAAAGAACCTAAGAAAACATTATTTAAAGTGCACATTTTAGTCTCCCAAATGATTTTTTTGTGGGGCTGATCTTGGTCAATACTTATTTAAGTGAAACAGTGACAAATGCGTATGTGAGGAGGACAGATTTTCTGAGGATCTCATCCAAAACTGAATAAATGAAATGAAATACTTGTACAAACAGTACAACATTACTAACTTAATTGAGAAATAAGGACACCCATCTATTCCACTGACATTTGTTTACAGAACTATTGTTTGTCCCCCCATATTGATTTATCTTTGTCACCCATCTCCCCATGAACTAAAAATACCATCTGACACCAGAGAGAGGGAAAAAAATCAGCCTCAGGCCTAATCAATTGAGAGAGGCTTTTTGAGGTTGTTTACGATGCTGCTTTTGGTTCATGATGCACAAGCCCAGCTGGTGAATGAAATGAGTTTAGAGGACAGCAATTTTGTCTGAGAACCAGTAATATGAACAAGAAAATAATTTCACAGCGTGTTTTTGTAGAAGTCGTACGGTACTCTTGAGCCTACATTTATCTCGTCGTTGTTCCGGCTGCTGTTTTCCTACTTAAGCGCAGAGACTGCATCAGCTCTAAATCATAAAAAACCAGAAGATTGTAAAGGCAGAGTGATTTAAGTGTTTTAACAGTGATCCAGAAACGCAGAGCATCAGTGGGTTTGGCTGTGGATTTGGAGATCAAACTCAGAGGTCTTACACATGGCCAAAAAAAGCAGAACACTTGGCCAAGTTTACCGTCTCCCACCCAGTCACGCTGATCTGCTGCCCGGTCACCTTTATATTAAGGCAGGGTAGCAAAAATGTGTTAGCTTCAGTTATTGAAATCACATTTTAAAAAGATTTTTATTCCTCATATGCAGAAAAAAGTGAAAGCTGTCAATTCTTCATTTGATGTGACAACAGATGACAGAAAAGCAATAGATGAGTTTCCGTTACACATCCACCACTTTTGTGACTTGATTTAAGCGTAAAATTGCGATACGGGTTTGAGTGATGTTTTACATAGGCTCTTGTAGTTACTACACATCATATTTCAGTCTTTTGACAAAGCTGGAGTACATTGACACGAACTCAAGATTGGCTGTCAAGTCCTGTTCTTAACATGCTGTGTTTCAGGGGTTTTTTCTCTCAAGCCAACATCTCTGATATATTGTTTATCACCTTAAGCGTTCTTTTTGACTCGAGAGAGAAAGGGGCTGCAAAAATGAAATACAGCCGCAACCTATCATATTTGAAAGCCTTTACTTTTTCATGTCTATTGGTCACATGAGAAAGTTTGCTGTCAAAAAGTGCAAGTGGAGGAAAAAAGATCCTTCCCTGATGATTTTATGCTCCCAAACAAATAAAAGTCTTTTAGTGATAGGCCAGGGCAGCTGCCCTCATCCATACAGATATATCCTTTGTTTACCCCGAGCTCCTCACCGAGCACCTTCAGAAACAGGCCTTTCACCTGATTGGCTCACAAACGGTGGATCTGGCAATACAAGCTGACATTTATCTTACTTTGTAAAATACCACAGGAGCATTACGAGGCAAAGCAGAAAAAGCAGAATGCTAATCCCCTGCCACTGTAGCTTTGCCTTTAAATCACACTAAGATAATTGTTTTGGTAATTAATTGATGAATCATTCAGCAGGGTACAATGAACTTAGCCTTTCTTGACCAATTTACTCGGTGGCTTTAAGTAAACAGCTGCCACAATGCCATGTCACACAATGCCTCATGAAGTAATAAAGTGCTTCATAATTCCAAACAACTGCACATATGGATCGCCCGGACTTGTCCAGGAGCCAAACAAATTAGTGCATTAGAAGTGGCGGCGGCGGCGTGCTTTATTTTCTTTTGCAACTGTGAATAAAGCTCATTAAGGAAACGCGTTCTTCGGAAACAAAGCCATCAACCAAGTTGCATTAACAGCGATGTTTAAAGCACTATAAAGGTGACTGAAACTGTAGATTTTATTGAGCCGTGATTCAGAGTCTGCAGAGAAGCATCTGAAAATCATTTTTAGCTCCGCGCCAGGTTTCTTTGATATCTGACATGACATAGCTGCAGGAAGCTGCTCTCGCCAAAAAGACACGCAGTATGTAGAGCGCTATAGTTTATGCAGGTAGTTCACTTTTAGTTTAAATATGGCTTTTGGCATTGTTCGTATTCGCCGAGCCACAATATTGATTTCTTTTCTATTTTTCCTCCCCCCTCCCCCTCCCCGACACACACACACACACACACACACACACACACACACACACACTGAACACACTCACACACACTGAACACACTCACATTCATAAACCTTTTTTTCAGCCTCCCAATAGCCTTGCCTTCGATTGTCAGCACTGGAAAGTGGATTAAATTACACTCATGTTGTCATGCTTGTTGTTCTTTTTCATTTTGGATAGAAAAATGAGCATTGCAAGTAAACCGCAAGTCTCCAGTGATAGACTCTGCAGTGTCAGTCAGGCCCCGTATTGAAGTGAAACACGCGACAGCAGCAGAGAAGAAAACAGATGGTTAAAAATGTATTTATTTAATTGTTTATGGTAACGTGACATCAGCCTTTAAAGGTTGCTCTTGTGTCGGCATGCTTATGTAGATGGTCACAGGGGGAAACAAGGCTCCAGACATTTAAGCTGACAAACTAGACTTTAATGACAAATATTGATTTCTCTTTTTTTTTTTTTTTTAGTAGCAGTTAAGGCACGTGGATGACATACTAACACTATTAGCTCCCTGGTGCGGTTTAGATCTGAAATGTTCACTCGGCATACTGATGTATGTCAGAGTTGCAGTCTAGTCTGGGCTTTTACTCTTTAGATTTCTTATTTATATTGATGAAAAGTTACATCTTCTGAATAAAATAAGAGAAAGCGATGTTTGAAGATGCTTCCTTTGTGTATATCCACCTCTGATCTCTTTTGTCTCCTGCCTCCCTCTTCCGCTAAGTCGCTGTAGTTCCATGCTTCGATCCGCACTGATAGAGCTCCTTCTCCTTCTCTTCTCCCTCAGGGTTTAGTCGAGCTGCCCTGCCATTTGGCTTAGTGCGGAGAGAGCTGTCTTGTGAGGGTTACCCCATTGATTTGCGGTGTCCAGGAAGTGATGTCATTATGATCGAAAGCGCCAACTATGGCCGAACGGACGACAAGATCTGCGATGCCGACCCTTTCCAGATGGAGAACATAAACTGCTATCTTCCAGACGCCTACAAGATCATGTCACAAAGGTAACACTGCAGACACCTCCAAATAATAACAGTAATAATAATTAATAAATCTAAAGGTATTTTCCGCTGTCACAGAAGTGAAATGATTGATAAGCATGATAACATTTTCTTTGTCGTGGTCCGCTGTTGTTCATTTTGCATGGTTGCCCCTGTTGGCATCCTGTGTTGAGAACAAAAACCCTCCGTATCCCTCGGCTTTGGAGTAAAAGTCACCCAGAACAATAACAGTGTTGCTGTCAGTTGCATAAAAACAGAAAAACGGAATATGAGTGTGTAATAAGATTGCACTACTGAGACAGCCGAAACCGAGCAGAAGAGAATTAGAAATTTCATCAGAACTTGGAATTTTAAATCAATTTGGGCAAACAGCCCAGAGAGAGCAGATTAAAACAGAAACACAGCCAAAGTCACAGAGTGCAGTAACAAAGCTTCCCATCCAAACTGCTGCCCATTGTCATTTCTGCTCTCATATACATACATTTAATATCTGCATTTATGTGATAAAATAAATAAATATTTAAAAATAAATAAAAATGAAAAAAATGTACATGATAAATATTGATTATGATGAAGAGTATTTCTATAGTATAATGTGTATTACTTTTCTAAATGTTCTACTTCTACTGTCTGAATTTCCTAAACTTCCTAAATCATACTAATCTCATGTGTAAATTCCTTCTGGGAAGTTTAAGAGCAGGCTGTTAGCACGATTCAAAGATGCTCCATAGCTGATATTCGCACTCTGGTTGATAGTGTTAACTTTGGCACCCAGTATTGCTTTAGATTGGCACCAAAAAATTGTGTCAGAATTGAATAAATGCACTCAATGAAAAGTGCATGGATACAGTTATTTTTCTGCAGCTGACCTTATTGCACATGTATCTGAATTGAGCTTTCCATTCAGACCGCAAAATTTGGGGTTGACACTTTTAAGATGAAATGTACAACTCAACTCACTAAGTTTTGCATTTGTCAATTCACCACCAACTGCCAAAGTCTAATGGCATAAAGTCATGTGTTAACCATTTTGCAGTTCCAAGAACAACAGCGCTGTGGTCTGAGGGAGAGAAGTTTCTCCACTCCTGTTCATTTATCTGCAATACTAGAAGAACACGAGAACATCTGAGGGCAGTCGTTAATGTTTCTAAGGAAACGAAAGGCAACACGCACCAAAGCTGTTTTGAGCCGGGGCTTTAAAAAGTCAACGTGAAACACATAACATATGCATTTTAATGATATGCACTTTTTTCATATTGCAGGTTTGCTGAGTTGCTATAACAAACACTAACACACCAACAATACAGTGAGACGAGTTCATTACCCGTCTGACTTCAGCCTTTAGTCCAATCTGAATTTTAGGCTTTTATGAGACAACAAACACTAAAAAGATTTAATTCCAATTTTGCAGATTATTCATTATTTGCAGTGTCGCAATGCTAACACTGCAGACCAAGTCAGTAATTCCAGTTCATCTTATTATTACGTAACTCTGACCACGTTATGTCACCAGGGATAAAAGGACATTTCTCAAGGAATTTAGCTCATAAATGTATTTCTGTCCAAGAAGTCAGATAAAATGAGATGATACTACTCATTCCAGACTGTAAGCAAATGAATACAACTTTACATTGAAAAAATAAGCATGCTTTTGTGAACCTTGCACATTTTCATTTAGTTATTATTTGTATTTATAGAAAAATGTTCAGTTTCCTTCACAACGTTCTCATGGAAACAAAGGTTGCTAATGGACGGTTGAATAAATGAACACCACAATGCAAGCTTGAAACCATCTCTGTAGCTGTCATTAAATGCAAAGCTATCGACACGTTCGCTGACGCGCACACACACTTGCAAACTTGGCTCAAGCAGGATACGCTGCATACATGAGACCTAATACACGAGACCAGTTGTCACACAGGGATGCCATCGGAGCCAAAGTGCACAGGATGGAATGACATATGACTGCCACAGAGAGAGATATTGGACGGTATGAGAGCGTCAGCAACTCTGGCACGCCGCCTTGGGAAATAAAAAAAATAATGAAATAAAAAAAGTAGAGCCCTTGTATTCAGGGGGGTTATTGTCAAGTCCTATTTGATGAAGTCAGATAGCTGACTCACATTGTCTGTCCTGAAAGGCTGCAGGCTGCCTTCTCTCCGCTTGTGGCCATATGTATTACGCTGGCCTCAGCCTCGCTCGTACACAACAGTAAACTGAAGCACAAATACCGACCCAGCAGGAGGCTGACAACAAATCCCAAAAACGCTCTCTACCAGTGTCTCCAGTTCAGACACTGATGTCTGTAGGACTGGGGTTCATTCCTCACATCCTGAGAGTGCCAGAGGCTGAACTTCAGATGTTGTTTTAAATGTGTTTTTAGCACCGTGATGTCGATGCTGTAGTGTTCAAAGAGAGAGAGCGAGAACTGTCATAAAAGAGGTCTCTGCGAGGGACACAAGTTCAAAATCCACAAAACAGGTACTTTACAAGAACAACGTCTGACAAAACACATAAAGTTCTTTTGAGATCACCATGGAAATGTGAGAACAGATTAGTGAGTCATTATTTATACGAGTGGAAAGCGTGGATTGGAGTTTTTATGTAGTCAGTATCATAAAAAGCAAAAAGAGTTCACTGACATGAAAATAGATTCAAGGACAACTTGACAAATGTCCAAGACTGCATATGGGACTAATTACACATTCTTTTTCTCCTGCCCGTTTATTTACAGCAATAGACTGAAATAGGAAGCAAATGTAATGAAAGATTGCCCCTGCTGCCAAAAATAATTATCTTCAAATGGGGAAAAAAGGAACGTGGTGATTGTTTTGCCTGTTTGGAATGCAGTGTTTGTTTCATTGGCATGAGGTCTGAGCCCTCGGTTCCTCTCCGAGTCTAAACTCCGCTGTCTGGCTCCTGCTGAGGCTAGCTCAGCTGAAAACGGTCCCTTTGTTGAACACTCCCCTGCACACACACTGTATGTGGAAAAAACAGGAAAATAGTATTTCCTACTGTACAGCCTACATCAATAAAGGGATTCAAGAACCAAAAATATTTGTTGCCATAATTACTCTGGTCTACTAATTTAAGTGTGTGGGGGGAAATCACATTAGTACTCGTGTGTGGAAAACTGTGTTCACTTTTAAACATCCGAAATTGATGTGGCCCCGAAGTGTGGAGAATTGGATTGAGGCTTCACTGAGTTTGATAGATCCTGTTGGCACTCCAAGTTGTTTTTATATCTAGCTGGCATATTATATTCATGAGCACAATGATTTTATGAAAATAGCCTTAGGACTGTTGTGGCTCAATTAGAACATTCAGCTGCAAGCAATTAGTCGACTCAAGTGGGTGATAATCTGTACAGGAATTTTTCATGTGGACACCTCCCCAGCAGATGTGAAACTGCATGGCAGTACAGTTTGAAATAATTAATTCATTGGTAATAATATTCAGTGATGTGGTTTTTTTTCTTTCTTTTCAGGATTTTAGTTGTTAATGATTACATTTCCTCATCTACGCTGATGATAATGATAATGACTACAAACACATTCTCGCCACACAGATAACATCTACTAAATTAAAACTGTAATTTAGGTGCATTTGAATATTATTTTGTAGTGCGTTTACTTGTGCATGCAACAACCATCTGGTGCTTAGATGTTACTGATCTAAATCTGTCCATCAGTCTCCATCACAGTTCAAGGAATAAGAAAACATGACAGTGAAGCACCTCGACTGATCATCTTAAAAAAAAAAAGGATATACAATATGAGCAGCTTACATCTATTGATTTCTCTTTGACTAATGAGGTTCACTGTAAGTATTAGATAACAAGGTCATTGATTGCTGTAACATAACATGATTGGTGTCTGTGCATCATGGTTTGTTTTTTTTTAAAGAGCGTATCATTGATGAAAATGATCAGTGCAGATACGTCTCTAACAGAGAAGATTAAATTCATCAGCAGGATTAGGGGACAGCATGAGTTGATTATTAATTAATAATTATCGTGACAATTATTATTATTACCAGTCAACAACCGTGTATTTGAAATGTTATATTTCATAATGACATATTAAATGCAGCAGGTTTTTACAAATATAACATGTTGTAAAAACATTAACATGCAATTAGCTGCATCTTTGAAGTTGTTGTCAATGAATGTGAAGCAGTTCTGGAGAATAAATGATGCCGCTTACACTATTTATATCAATGTCAGGGGCGGCTCGCGAGGCTCTCCGAGGAGCTCCATTGTTGCCGCCTGACAGCACAGCGCCTTGTTCTTCCTCTCTGTATGTACGACGTTAGTGTTTATTTAAAGCGCAGCCGATTAAGATTTCATAAAGATCCAGATTCCGCTTGGACGTTTCACAGGGATGTTCAAAAGTTCATGAGGCATGAAACTGCTCTCCACTCGAAAAATTAAGGGTAGGAACAGTCACCTCATTAGGCTAACAACTGCTAATACCAGTGTTGAATTACATGAAATGTAAGTAGAGAAATAGATTTGCCAACACACGTGTCACATCATGTTAGACGGGTGGGGCAGCACGCTGGTTTCCCACGTATGAAGTCTGGAGTATGTATTGGAGAATCTGGGCAATGCAGCAAGTGAGGCCTACTACTGTTGATATTAATAGTACTAAAGTACACATGATATGCACTTAGATTCACCACAGTTTTTAAATTGATATATTTTCTTACAGTTTGGAAATGTTTCCAGTTTTTCAGATAAATTTGATCATTAACACAATAACACTTCTGTAAAAAACAAAAAAACAATTAACACAGAAACACTGAACTACTCTCTATGAGGAATTTTAAGCAGTCAGGAAAGCTCCGAAGTATTAAACAGTTATGACCTGCGCACACATTAAAAACAGCCACACTAGCGGTCTGTGAAGTTATCATCAAGGTGGTGGATCGTAACTATGGCTAATATTAAAATGATAACATTAGTGTTGGGAGTGGGTAGCAAATTATATCAGTATGACGGG